TGGGCGATATGGACTTAAAAATATATCACGATATTTTCTGCCATTTATTGCGATAACGATATCAATGACGATATAAATACAATACCATATTCACCACTGTTTTTGGCTACAAGTGATAGCTGCATGCAAAGCAAAATGTACCCTTCACCAAATAGGCTCCTATAAAATACCAATTACCATACATAAAATAATAATCAAAAAACAGTAAAACAGTAAACACCATCCCTTGCAGAAATGGAAAAGTTGCATACGTTTCTTCTGTAAAAGTGCAGATAATGTTTAAATAGTGCAACTATACTGAAAAACATCACACAGTAATAATTCAAATCATTTACAAGTTTGAAATATAAAAAATCTAACAACGAATAGTTAAACTAATACTACTACGAATTCTGATACTAATAACAATATAAACCACATTAAGGATTGATGAGCTGCTGGGTTCATGAATATCATCACGTCTGCGTTTGCGCATTAGTTTCTGCTTGCTCAAAGCTGAATAATTCCAAATTAACTCCATTATTTTTACAGGAAAATACAACAAATAATATAATTTACATGTAGACGTCATGTACACTTCAATTCTGCGTGGTATGTAAGACTCTCTCTCTCTCATCGAGTGCGTGAGAAACACGGAGCGCTCTCAGCAGTGACAGCACGTCATGCGCCTCAGTGTTTACTGCGCGTCAAATACACTGTGTATTCATTGAGATGAACTGATATAGTGGGCTTTACGGATCACTTGACGGAGAGCGACACTCTCAAGCGCTCAGTCAGTGTTCGGCGAGATGGGCGGATGAAAATCTGTGTGTACCAGTTCCAGATTGTAGAGGTAGTTACTCGTTTAGCGATAAACTTCACCTCAGCTCCACTTCCGCCATGCGCGTGAGCTGCGAATGCGTCCCGTCATAGGCTTTATCGTTATTATCGCGGGAAGACTAATTCTTATCGTGAGGAAAAATTTTAACGATATATCGCAAACGATAATATATCGCCCATCCCTACTGAACACACACACGTGCAGTCATACTGAGCCTGAACACACACACGTGCAGTTATACTGAGCCTGAACACACACACGTGCAGTCACACTGAGCCTGAACACACACACGTGCAGTCATACTGAGCCTGAACACACACACGTGCAGTTATACTGAGCCTGAACACACACACGTGCAGTCACACTGAGCCTGAACACACACACGTGCAGTCATACTGAGCCTGAACACACACACGTGCAGTCATACTGAGCCTGAACACACACACGTGCAGTTATACTGAGCCTGAACACACACACGTGCAGTCACACTGAGCCTGAACACACACACGTGCAGTCACACTGAGCCTGAACACACACACGTGCAGTTATACTGAGCCTGAACACACACACGTGCAGTCACACTGAGCCTGAACACACACACGTGCAGTCACACTGAGCCTGAACACACACACGTGCAGTCACACTGAGCCTGAACACACACACGTGCAGTCACACTGAGCCTGAACACACACACGTGCAGTTATACTGAGCCTGAACACACACACGTGCAGTCATACTGAGCCTGAACACACACACGTGCAGTCATACTGAGCCTGAACACACACACGTGCAGTTATACTGAGCCTGAACACACACACGTGCAGTTATACTGAGCCTGAACACACACACGTGCAGTCACACTGAGCCTGAACACACACACGTGCAGTCACACTGAGCCTGAACACACACACGTGCAGTCATACTGAGCCTGAACACACACACGTGCAGTTATACTGAGCCTGAACACACACACGTGCAGTCACACTGAGCCTGAACACACACACGTGCAGTTATACTGAGCCTGAACACACACACGTGCAGTCACACTGAGCCTGAACACACACACGTGCAGTCACACTGAGCCTGAACACACACACGTGCAGTCATACTGAGCCTGAACACACACACGTGCAGTTATACTGAGCCTGAACACACACACGTGCAGTCACACTGAGCCTGAACACACACACGTGCAGTTATACTGAGCCTGAACACACACACGTGCAGTCATACTGAGCCTGAACACACACACGTGCAGTTATACTGAGCCTGAACACACACACGTGCAGTCACACTGAGCCTGAACACACACACGTGCAGTCACACTGAGCCTGAACACACACACGTGCAGTCACACTGAGCCTGAACACACACACGTGCAGTCATACTGAGCCTGAACACACACACGTGCAGTCACACTGAGCCTGAACACACACACGTGCAGTCACACTGAGCCTGAACACACACACGTGCAGTCACACTGAGCCTGAACACACAAACGTGCAGTCACACTGAGCCTGAACACACACACGTGCAGTCATACTGAGCCTGAACACACACACGTGCAGTCACACTGAGCCTGAACACACACACGTGCAGTCACACTGAGCCTGAACACACACACGTGCAGTCATACTGAGCCTGAACACACACACGTGCAGTCACACTGAGTCTGAACACACACACGTGCAGTCACACTGAGCCTGAACACACACACGTGCAGTCACACTGAGCCTGAACACACACACGTGCAGTCACACTGAGCCTGAACACACACACGTGCAGTCACACTGAGCCTGAACACACACACGTGCAGTCACACTGAGCCTGAACACACACACGTGCAGTCATACTGAGCCTGAACACACACACGTGCAGTCATACTGAGCCTGAACACACACACGTGCAGTTATACTGAGCCTGAACACACACACGTGCAGTCACACTGAGCCTGAACACACACACGTGCAGTCATACTGAGCCTGAACACACACACGTGCAGTCATACTGAGCCTGAACACACACACGTGCAGTCATACTGAGCCTGAACACACACACGTGCAGTTATACTGAGCCTGAACACACACACGTGCAGTTATACTGAGCCTGAACACACACACGTGCAGTCACACTGAGCCTGAACACACACACGTGCAGTCATACTGAGCCTGAACACACACACGTGCAGTCACACTGAGCCTGAACACACACACGTGCAGTCATACTGAGCCTGAACACACACACGTGCAGTCACACTGAGCCTGAACACACACACGTGCAGTCATACTGAGCCTGAACACACACACGTGCAGTTATACTGAGCCTGAACACACACACGTGCAGTCACACTGAGCCTGAACACACACACGTGCAGTCACACTGAGCCTGAACACACACACGTGCAGTCATACTGAGCCTGAACACACACACGTGCAGTCACACTGAGCCTGAACACACACACGTGCAGTCACACTGAGCCTGAACACACACACGTGCAGTTATACTGAGCCTGAACACACACACGTGCAGTCATACTGAGCCTGAACACACACACGTGCAGTCATACTGAGCCTGAACACACACACGTGCAGTCACACTGAGTCTGAACACACACACGTGCAGTCATACTGAGCCTGAACACACACACGTGCAGTTATACTGAGCCTGAACACACACACGTGCAGTTATACTGAGCCTGAACACACACACGTGCAGTCACACTGAGCCTGAACACACACACGTGCAGTCATACTGAGCCTGAACACACACACGTGCAGTCATACTGAGCCTGAACACACACACACGTGCAGTCATACTGAGCCTGAACACACACACGTGCAGTCATACTGAGCCTGAACACACACACGTGCAGTCACACTGAGCCTGAACACACACACGTGCAGTCATACTGAGTCTGAACACACACACGTGCAGTCACACTGAGCCTGAACACACACACGTGCAGTCATACTGAGTCTGAACACACACACGTGCAGTCACACTGAGCCTGAACACACACACGTGCAGTTATACTGAGCCTGAACACACACACGTGCAGTCATACTGAGCCTGAACACACACACGTGCAGTCATACTGAGCCTGAACACACACACGTGCAGTCATACTGAGCCTGAACACACACACGTGCAGTCACACTGAGCCTGAACACACACACGTGCAGTCATACTGAGTCTGAACACACACACGTGCAGTCACACTGAGCCTGAACACACACACGTGCAGTCATACTGAGTCTGAACACACACACGTGCAGTCACACTGAGCCTGAACACACACACACGTGCAGTCATACTGAGCCTGAACACACACACGTGCAGTCACACTGAGCCTGAACACACACACGTGCAGTCATACTGAGCCTGAACACACACACGTGCAGTCACACTGAGCCTGAACACACACACGTGCAGTCACACTGAGCCTGAACACACACACGTGCAGTCATACTGAGCCTGAACACACACACGTGCAGTCATACTGAGTCTGAACACACACACGTGCAGTCATACTGAGCCTGAACACACACACGTGCAGTCACACTGAGCCTGAACACACACACGTGCAGTCACACTGAGCCTGAACACACACACGTGCAGTCATACTGAGTCTGAACACACACACGTGCAGTCACACTGAGCCTGAACACACACACACGTGCAGTCATACTGAGCCTGAACACACACACGTGCAGTCATACTGAGCCTGAACACACACACGTGCAGTCACACTGAGTCTGAACACACACACGTGCAGTCATACTGAGCCTGAACACACACACGTGCAGTCATACTGAGCCTGAACACACACACGTGCAGTCATACTGAGCCTGAACACACACACACACACACGCAGTCACACTGAGCCTGAACACACACACGTGCAGTCATACTGAGCCTGAACACACACACGTGCAGTCATACTGAGCCTGAACACACACACACACACGCAGTCACACTGAGCCTGAACACACACACGTGCAGTCATACTGAGCCTGAACACACACACACACACACACGCAGTCACACTGAGCCTGAACACACACACGTGCAGTCATACTGAGCCTGAACACACACACACACACGTGCAGTCACACTGAGCCTGAACACACACACACACACACACACACACACACACACACACACACACACACACACACACAGCTCCACTCTGAGCATCAGCACCAACCCCTGACTGCTTCTGTACCTTTTTATAAAGTGTTTCTGGGATGAAGTTCTGGAGTTCCTCTGACTGAGCGTTGGCTCTGCACAGGCCGTATGACAGAACGGCCACACACAACCTGAAGATACACACACACACAACCTGAAGATACACACACACACAACCTGAAGATACACACACACACACAACCACCTCACACACACGAGCACTATGATAGGGATGCAAATCAGTACCTGATAAACCGTGCTATCAGTTAAAGAGTCATTTAAACCGCAATGATCCAGCTGTAGGAATGAACTAGTTGTCTCTCTCTATATAACTCTCATCAGTGTGTCTCTCTATCTTGCAGGACATTGCTAAGAAAAATTTAAAAAACGGCCAAAATAAACCTCAAAACGTATAAATACTGTATTTTGGAAATAAGATCCAAGCACCACAACTGCTCACTTAATAAACTCCACAGTGTCTCGCTAGACTCTTGCAGTGCCAGCTCGGTGAAGCCCCCAGAGGACACACACACCGCTGCTTTACTCTACACTGACAGATGCAGATAATCTTTAGTTTCTAATATTAATCTAACAAAACAAAAAAATGTAATACCAAACGGCCTAAACATTGGTATGGTAACTAGGGATGCACCAATATGGAAATTTGCCCGATACCAATAATTCTGTATATTTGGAAGCCGATAACTGATATATTGGCCGGTACCAATAATTCTGTACATTTGGAAGCCGATAACTGATATATTGGCCGGTACCAATAATTCTGTACATTTGGAAGCCGATAACTGATATATTGGCCGGTACCGATAATTCTGTACATTTGGAAGCCGATAACTGATATATTGGCCGGTACCGATAATTCTGTACATTTGGAAGCCGATAACTGATATATTGGGCGATACCGATAATTCTGTACATTTGGAAGCCGATAACTGATATATTGGCCGATACCAATAATTCTGTACATTTGGAAGCCGATAACTGATATATTGGGCGATACCGATAATTCTGTACATTTGGAAGCCGATAACTGATATATTGGCCGGTACCGATAATTCTGTACATTTGGAAGCCGATAACTGATATATTGGCCGGTACCGATAATTCTGTACATTTGGAAGCCGATAACTGATATATTGGCCGATACCGATAACTCTGTACATTTGGAAGCCGATAACTGATATATTGGCCGATACCAATAATTCTGTATATTTGGAAGCCGATAACTCATATATTGGCCGATACCGATAACTCTGTATATTTTGAAGCCGATAACTGATATATTGGCCGATACCAATAATTCTGTACATTTGGAAGCCGATAACTGATATATTGGCCGATACCGATAATTCTGTATATTTGGAAGCGGATAACTGATATATTGGCCGATACCAATAATTCTGTACATTTGGAAGCCGATAACTGATATATTGGCCGATACCGATAACTCTGTATATTTGGAAGCCGATAACTGATATATTGGCCGATACCAATAATTCTGTACATTTGGAAGCGGATAACTGATATATTGGCCGATACCAATAATTCTGTACATTTGGAAGCCGATAACTGATATATTGGCCGGTACCGATAATTCTGTACATTTGGAAGCCGATAACTGATATATTGGCCGATACCGATAATTCCGTATATTTGGAAGCCGATAACTGATATATTGGCCGATACCGATAATTCTGTATATTTGGAAGCCGATAACTGATATATTGGCCGATACCGATAATTCTGTATATTTGGAAGCCGATAACTGATATATTGGCCGATACCAATAATTCTGTATATTTGGAAGCCGATAACTGATATATTGGCCGATACCAATAATTCTGTATATTTGGAAGCCGATAACTGATATATTGGCCGATACCAATAATTCTGTATATTTGGAAGCCGATAACTGATATATTGGCCGATACCGATAACTCTGTATATTTGGAAGCCGATAACTGATATATTGGCCGATACCGATAATTCTGTATATTTGGAAGCCGATAACTGATATATTGGCCGATACCAATAATTCTGTATATTTGGAAGCCGATAACTGATATATTGGCCGATACCTGTAATTCTGTATATTTGGAAGCCGATAACTGATATATTGGCCGATACCGATAACTCTGTATATTTGGAAGCCGATAACTGATATATTGGCCGATACCGATAACTCTGGATATTTGGAAGCCGATAACTGATATATTGGCCGATACCGATAACTCTGTATATTTGGAAGCCGATAACTGATATATTGGCCGATACCGATAACTCTGTATATTTGGAAGCCGATAACTGATATATTGGCCGATACCGATAACTCTGTATATTTGGAAGCCGATAACTGATATATTGGCCGATACCAGTAATTCTGTATATTTGGAAGCCGATAACTGATATATTGGCCGATACCTATAATTCTGTATATTTGGAAGCCGATAACTGATATATTGGCCGATACCGATAACTCTGTATATTTGGAAGCCGATAACTGATATATTGGCCGATACCGATAACTCTGGATATTTGGAAGCCGATAACTGATATATTGGCCGATACCGATAACTCTGTATATTTGGAAGCCGATAACTGATATATTGGCCGATACCGATAACTCTGTATATTTGGAAGCCGATAACTGATATATTGGCCGATACCGATAACTCTGTATATTTGGAAGCCGATAACTGATATATTGGCCGATACCAATAATTCTGTATATTTGGAAGCCGATAACTGATATATTGGCCGATACCGATAATTCTGTATATTTGGAAGCCGATAACTGATATATTGGCCGATACCAATAATTCTGTATATTTGGAAGCCGATAACTGATATATTGGCGGATACCGATAACTCTGTATATTTGGAAGCCGATAACTGATATATTGGCCCATACCAATAATTCTGTATATTTGGAAGCCGATAACCGATATATTGGCGGATACCGATAACTCTGTATATTTGGAAGCCGATAACTGATATATTGGCAGATACCAATAATTCTGTATATTTGGAAGCCGATAACTGATATATTGGCCGATACCAATAATTCTGTATATTTGGAAGCCGATAACCGATATATTGGCGGATACCAGTAATTCTGTATATTTGGAAGCCGATAACTGATATATTGGCCGATACCAATAATTCTGTATATTTGGAAGCCGATAACTGATATATTGGCCGATACCGATAACTCTGTATATTTGGAAGCCGATAACTGATATATTGGCCGATACCAATAATTCTGTATATTTGGAAGCCGATAACTGATATATTGGCCGATACCGATAATTCTGTATATTTGGAAGCCGATAACTGATATATTGGCCGATACCAATAATTCTGTATATTTGGAAGCCGATAACTGATATATTGGCGGATACCGATAACTCTGTATATTTGGAAGCCGATAACTGATATATTGGCCCATACCAATAATTCTGTATATTTGGAAGCCGATAACCGATATATTGGCGGATACCGATAACTCTGTATATTTGGAAGCCGATAACTGATATATTGGCAGATACCAATAATTCTGTATATTTGGAAGCCGATAACTGATATATTGGCCGATACCAATAATTCTGTATATTTGGAAGCCGATAACCGATATATTGGCGGATACCGATAACTCTGTATATTTGGAAGCCGATAACTGATATATTGGCCGATACCAATAATTCTGTATATTTGGAAGCCGATAACTGATATATTTATGGAGGGATTATTGGGTCAGATTGAAAACTAAAAGTCTAAAACTAAAAGTCTTAAACGAAAACCAAAAGTCTAAGTTTGAAACTAAAAGTCTAAGTCGAAAACTAAAAGTCTAAGTCGAAAATGAATTTGGTATTTAGGATTGGGCATTTGGTATTTAGGATTGGGCATTTGGTATTTAGGATAGGGCATTTGGTATTTAGGATTGGGCATTTGGTCATTTAGCCATTTAGGATTTAGGATTGGGCATTTAGGGATTTAGGATTGGGCATTTAATCATTTAGCCATTTAGGATTGGGCATTTGAGGATTGAGGATTGTATGCAAATAAGGAGGCGTGGCCCAAATACTGGAGGCTGGGTTTGAAATGGCTGGTGCAGATGCACCTTATGGACAGCAGAGGGAGCTCCAGTGCTAAGGAGCACACTGTAATGAAACCAAACAGAGCGAGTGAGCAGGTCTGGAGCGAGGACTGTACTTTATAATGTGATAACTTCAACTTAATGACAGCGTTGTATAGGGGTACTGGAACGGTACATGTATTCCTATTGAACCGAACCGGTAGCCTACGGGCGTCACGGTTCGGTGCACGAATTTACACGGAGAATACACGGTATAAAAATAAATAAAACTCTAAATAGCGATACATTTCGCTCTACTCGCGTTTGGTGTGAACGCAGCATAATAAACAGGCTGCGACGTCAAGGTTGCAATGTTGGAGTGTGTGCTGCAAAGTTCAAACTGCAAAGTGTGTATATTTGTGTACACTCGCAATAAAATACAACATTGTGCTTTTGTCACACTCTAAAATCTTGTCAAACTGTAACCTACAACTGTCACCCAACCAAAATCACACACACACACACACACACACACACACACACACACACACACACACACACACACACACACACACTCTCTCTCTCTCTCTCACACACACACACACACACACCTAGTTCGTTCGCGCCCACGCCTCCCCCTCTCTCTCTCGCGCGCACACACACACTCCAACATTGCAATCTTGATATCGCAGCCTGTTTATTATGCTGCGTTCACACCAAACGCGAGTAGAGCGAAATGTATCGCTATTTAGAGTTTTATTTATTTTTATACCGTGTATTCTCCGTGTAAATTCGTGCACCGAACCGTGACGCCCGTAGGCTACCGGTTCGGTTCAATAGGAATACATGTACCGTTCCAGTACCCCTATACAACGCTGTCATTAAGTTGAAGTTATCACATTATAAAGTACAGTCCTCGCTCCAGACCTGCTCACTCGCTCTGTTTGGTTTCATTACAGTGTGCTCCTTAGCACTGGACTGACTGGAGCTCCCTCTGCTGTCCATAAGGTGCATCTGCACCAGCCATTTCAAACCCAGCCTCCAGTATTTGGGCCACGCCTCCTTATTTGCATACACTCCTCAATCCTCAATCCTCAAATGCCCAATCCTAAATGGCTAAATGATTAAATGCCCAATCCTAAATCCCTAAATGCCCAATACTAAATCCAAAATGGCTAAATGACCAAATGCCCAATCCTAAATACCAAATGCCCAATCCTAAATACCAAATTCATTTTTGACTTAGACTTTTAGTTTTCGACTTAGACTTTTAGTTTCAAACTTAGACTTTTGGTTTTCGTTTAAGACTTTTAGTTTTAGACTTTTAGTTTTCAATCTGTCCCAATAATCCCTCCATATATATTGGCCGATACCAATAATTCTGTATATTTGGAAGCCGATAACTGATATATTGGCGGATACCGATAACTCTGTATATTTGGAAGCCGATAACTGATATATTGGCCGATACCAATAATTCTGTATATTTGGAAGCCGATAACCGATATATTGGCGGATACCGATAACTCTGTATATTTGGAAGCCGATAACTGATATATTGGCCGATACCAATAATTCTGTATATTTGGAAGCCGATAACTGATATATTGGCGGATACCGATAACTCTGTATATTTGGAAGCCGATAACTGATATATTGGCGGATACCAATAATTCTGTATATTTGGAAGCCGATAACTGATATATTGGCGGATACCAATAATTCTGTATATTTGGAAGCCGATAACTGATATATTGGCGGATACCAATAATTCTGTATATTTGGAAGCCGATAACCGATATATTGGCGGATACCGATAATTCTGTATATTTGGAAGCCGATAACCGATATATTGGCGGATACCGATAACTCTGTATATTTGGAAGCCGATAACTGATATATTGGCCGATACCGATAACTCTGTATATTTGGAAGCCGATAACCGATATATTGGCCGATACCGATAACTCTGTATATTTGGAAGCCGATAACTGATATATTGGCCGATACCAATAATTCTGTATATTTGGAAGCCGATAACCGATTTATTGGCGGATACCGATAACTCTGTATATTTGGAAGCCGATAACTGATATATTGGCTGATACCTTACATGTAATGATAATTTAGCTGATTCACTCCCCTGGCTGTTATTCCAGATCTACACAGCGCCGGAGGATTCAGAATGTGTTTTTGTTTTGTTAATATGTTAAACTTATCTTGTGTGGGCCTATTCATTTTTGGCAGCGATACAGGTGCGTGATGATATGAGGATGATATGATATGAGGGTCAGACCTGAGGCAGAGGGCCATGTGTGCGCGTGTGGAGCAGATCAGAGCCTCACAGAGACACTGGGACACGGAGAGAGCGACCGCAGACGAGCCCGTCAGCTGCACCCGAACACACACCTGTGTGCAGTGATGAAGCTCCACCATCAGCGCCGCTACACCCAGAACATGAGCCGCGCTCAGAGCCTCGGTCTGAAACACACACACAGAACATGAGCGGCGCTCAGAGCCTCGGTCTGAAACACACACACAGAACATGAGCCGCGCTCAGAGCCTCGGCCTGAAACACACAGCGCTACACACACACGCACTGAGAGAGTGATAAACACACGCGAGGGACAGTGATCACCTGGTGCTGGAGCAGATCCCACAGTCTGTGTATCAGGGCAGAGACGAGCCATCGGTGGCCCAACAGCACCTTCACAAACACACCCGGCCATGAGCCCTGCCTGAGGACAACACCACCGCACATTAAACACACACACTGATGTATGTGATACCCAGAATTCTCTATATTTGGAAGCCGATAACTGATATATTGGCCAATAAATGCATAGAATTACCATATCGGGCAAATTTCCATTCCTATGCATTTATCAGACAATATATCAGTTATCAGCTTCAAATATAAAGGAAGCCGAGCTGAATGTTCTTGTCTTTTTAACCAATGCATTTCTATGACTTCCAGTTGTCTGTGATTTACTGCAAAGGGTTTAAAAAAAAAATTTGCACACGATTTCTAAATAATTTAGAGCTTGGCATAACTATAAACAAGTATAATTCACATGGAGGTTTTGAGATTAATTTCCTTGACTTTTAAATCCTGGTCATTGAGGGGGTGATCTCATAATGTAATCAATATCTTGATTTGTAGTCGTTTTAGCTCATTTTAAAGTAGCTCTCTGGTAGAGAGACTGAAATCAAAGGAAGACATGATGTTTCCCAGCGTATTACTATAAATCATGATTACACAGAACTGCTGATTTCGGTTGACTCGACTCGGAAAGCAGCTTTCACAGAGAAATACTGAAGCCTTATTGGAATAACGCTGTTGTTCTACAGCGGCCAATGGCATTCAAGCAGGAGAAACAGGGGCGGGGCTTATTCTCT